ATATTTTTTTTATTTTCATCTTAATTTCAAATGTATTTTAGTGTATTTTATATCAGTATCCTCATATTTAATTAGATTTTGAGCTCAATCCACACTCGAAGCTCAGAAAAAATAGGTTTAGCTAGTGACCGAGCTCAAAAAATATTAGAAACAGTCATGTCCAAACGTATCTTGGAGTTGAGCGCTAACATATTCTAACCCATCATGGGATTGAATGTAAGCATGTCCTTACCTAATTTGAAATTATGCGCGAGCATGTTATGGCCTAAATTAAGATTGGGCAATATAAAAGACAAAACTTTATTTGAAATTTTAACTTTGCACGATGAACTTTTAAATAAAGTTGGTTAATAAAAACCATGACCCTTCAATGTTTGTGTTTTTTGAGAAAAATAAATGGAAAATTAAGTTAATGTGAAGGGGATCCAACCGTTTTTCTTTGTTTGAATACTAAAATTATGAGTACTAGAAAAGGAAAAGGAGGGGAAATGAATCTTTTGAATTTTATTGTCTACATACATGCTTTTTGTCTTTTAAATTGGAATGAAAGAGAAGGAATTGAAAAAATTAACATAATTCTTCTTATTGTATCCTCTAAAAATTCTTTTCTTTTCTCTTAAGCAAAAAAAAGAGAGAGAGAATCCCTTCTTTCTCTCAGTTTAATTTATTTTTTATTCTTTAGTATTTTTATTTTTTAATTACCATACAGACCGGTAATGCTTCTAGGCACAACTTTTCTCAACATGCAAATTAGAAAGGAAAGAAAAACAAATTATTAAAGTAAAAAAAAAAAAAAATAGAGAAGTAGAGTCCTTTGAAAACAGGGAAGGAGACTCGAGTCTTTGGCACTTGGTAGTGACCTTTTACACGTTATTGGACCCAAGAAAATTAGAAAATAAAACCAAAGTAAAGTAACCATATTCTAGGCTATAGAAAATAGGAGAACCAAAGTAAAGTAACCATATTCTAGGCTTACTTAAACAAGCTTACGTCATTGATCTTACGTTTGGTTTTCTCACTTCAGTCCAAGGATTCAAAGGATTAATTTGATAAATACAAGCTCATGTATCTAGCTAATTTTTTCCCAACACGTGGATTGATTTCAACAACTTTGCCCTTTGCTAGTCAGCACTAATTAAGACCAAATTATCAATCTTTTTCTATAATTTTCTTGAGACAGAGCAGCCACCTACTTTTGGTCATCCTTGCAGGCTGTGTGAACGGAACGTCCTCCAAGAAAAAAATTCTAACCACTATGCACGAGAGATCAATGCTATTCACTTATAAATGAGGGCTTATATGTCTCCTATTTGCTTTTTCTAATAACACTGCTGGCAAAATTTTCATCCATACTGTATAGTATTGAAGCTATCTTGATATTATTAAGCTCATAGATCATGGAGGTCTTTCCCTCTTGCAAAGAAAAGGTATGTTTTCTTCTAGTTGTGTGTGTGTGTGTGTGTGTGTGAATAGAATACTACTACTACTTGGAGAAGAGTATAGAGGGGGGGAAGCAAAGAAAAACATTGAGCATCTAATGAAATAAGGAGCAGGAAATAGCTAAAAGGTCGTACATGTTAATTTAAGGTTTCATGCTTGAAAAATGAAGTTAATGTTTCTCAAGCAGTAGATGTTATCTTACTCAGGTGGATGCTCTTCAATTCGAGTTGGAACACAGGCAGAAGGAGAATGAAAGTCTTAGATTTATGCTTGGAGTTATGACCAGAAGATTCAGCATTCTTCAAGCCGAGATTCAAGAAACCGAAGAACATCAACAAAAGGCAGTACGCAACTTAACGGAGGGAGATCAAGCTTGTCATGAAATCCTTGACTCGAACAAGAGAGCAAGATTTGAAGTTCCCTTAACCAAGGCATCGAGAATCTTGGTGAGAAGTCACTCCAATGACAAGAGCCTGGTAATTAAGTTCCTCTAGTCAGTTCGATATATACATAATTTGTACATGAAGTTTTTGAGTTGAAGATTCCTAGATCTTACATATGATAATAAAAAGCTCTTTTACAAATGTGAATTTAGGTTGTGAAAGATGGATATCAATGGAGAAAGTATGGTCAGAAGGTTACTAAGGATAACCCATCACCTCGAGCTTACTTCAGGTGTTCCATGGCTCCTAATTGCCCCGTCAAGAAGAAGGTACGTCTGCTCGAGTTTTCTTTTGAAAACCAGTCAAGACATCTGTAATTAAATAGCATCCCTGAGGTTTTCAAAGGGCAACTTCAAGGTTCATGTGTGCAATCAAAAACAGTACTGAGCATGTGATAACACCAGTCTTTGATTTATTCTTGGTTTTCAGGTCCAAAGATGTGTAGAAGATGATTCGGTACTTGTTGCAACTTATGATGGAGAACACAACCATGAACCCAATGGCTCACATGGACAATATTTATGTTATCCAAATAGCTCATCATCAAAAATTTCCATAACTAATCATGTCCTCAAGTGCCCAATCGAAATTCCTCCTCTTCAACCGTCTGTAGCTCTTGATCTTACTCTTTCAAGTCCCGGTAATCAACAGAAGGAAAAACCTTCTGAAAGATCCATGGAAGACTGCGGCAAGATTTATAATAACTACAACAAGAACTACATTGAAGAATATGTGGCATCTTTAACTAAAGATCCTAACTTCTCTGCAGCTTTAGCTGCGGCTGTTGCAAGTTCAATGAGTGACCTGTCTACGTCAAGAATGCTGTGAAATAATTATTGTCTTATTTATGAAAGGTTTATGCTATTTCTCTCAAGGCTACGTTTGTATTTGCTTGTGTTCTTACGCTACCGATATGTATAAAATATATATATATATAAAAGAATTCAAGAAGTAATAAAAAAATTATTTAGTATTGTTATTAAATTTTTCAAGAAGTTATAAAAAATTATTTAGTATTGTTATTAAATTTAATTTAATAAATTAATTTTAAAATATTTTTATTTATTTATTATTTAAGCTTAAGGGTATTGTTATGGAATGAATTAGTTAATTTGATGAGTATAAAAATAACTTGATTGCTTAAAAAAATTAAAAATGATGAAATTAATAAAAAAATAAAATTCTCAAAATGAAATTGAAGAGAAATAATGAAATTAACAAAAGAAATAATTTTTTTACTCAACTCTTTACCTAACAAATATTTAAAATTAAATTATATAAAAAAAATTCTATTTAATTTTTCTAAAAATAACTAATTAAAAAAAACTTGTTTCGGTGTTTACATGTATGTTTGAAAACGTGGTTAGCTGGCTGTAATTTTTTAAAAAATTTAATTTTTTTTATGTTTTAATATAATTTTTATTTATTAATATTAAAAATAAATTTTAAAAAATAAAAATATGTTTTAATAAAATATATTTTGATAACAACAGCAAATACGCAACCATTAAAGTCGTCATCGGTGAAACTCCACTGTCTCTTAGCAGAGTTCTAAATCCATCTTTCCCAAGAAGGAACTGGTGAAAGACAAGGACCAATCATCAAAGGCCACAAAAATTCTGACATAACATGAGAGTCAAAATCTAATCCCCATAAAAATTGACAGCCTAGTCTAAAATATTAATTTAAAGAAATTTCACCACCATATTCAATTATTTAAATGAGAATTTGTTGCTGGATTCTTTTTCTTATTATTAGGTGTGCTTTCGTAATAGGTGATGTAATTAGTATTTTTTGATGATGTAAGTAAAAGTCTCAAGATTAGTATAAATAATAAATAAAGGTTAAATGTAATCTTATAAGATAGAATCTTGGGAGGATAGATCTAGAAGAAAAATTCTTTTTAATAAAAAATTTTATTTTTTTAATTTTTTTTCAAAAAATTTTATATTTAAAATCTAGAAGCTTTTGTTATTATCTAATAAGATATGATTTCAGTGAATAATTATTGAAATGTATTAGGATGATTTTATATTAATATAATATAAAATTTATTATAGGATTGATTACGAGATTGTTTAGAAGTTTATTTTTAAAATATTTTTTATTTAAAAATATATTAAAAAATATTTTTTAAAAAAAATTATTTTTAATAGCAATGCATCAAAATGATATGAAAATATTAAAAAAATATTAATTTAAAATAAAAAAATAATATTTTTTAAAATTGCTTTTTCAACACAAAAAAAAGCTAAGATATTATATAATCCACATAAATCTAAATTTAAAACCTTGTTATATAAAGACTTCACGTTAAATAATAATTACATTTTATGGATTAAAATATATTCTCTATAAATATGTGCTTAGATTATTATTATTATTATTATTAAGATGATCCTCTATGCGCTCTTGTGCTAAGAAATAACTAACAAAAGAAATTTATGAAGATTTAGGATTTAAGTTTAAAAATTCTTTAAAACTTGTAATGGTTTCAACTTCAATAAAAATCTTCATAGTCGAACCATGTAGCAAATCTCGTCAGCAAGAAGTCTTCAGCTTCAAGTCCAAATCTGCAGACCGCGACGCTCTCATGATCATGTTTTCCCGACGAATATTTTGCAGCAGGAGATCCTTTATTTTATGGTGTATTTGGGGCTTTTTTTTCCTAACAGATATGAGTTCTTCGGTCAGCGGCTTGACTCTCCCTATATACATGATCATTGAAATATTTCTTAGTATGAGAGATCAAGTAACAATGTATTAAAAAAACATATAAAATATCAAGCAAAACAAGAATACTTCTAGCTCTTATATCTCAGACAACTCAAAGAAGCTTCATGGGATCTTTTTATCCAGGTACTGCTGGTAGTCTGCTAACCAGTTCTTGTAAAGATATGGTCATGGGCTCCTTTTATCCAGGTACTGCTGGTAGTCTGCTAACCAGTTCTTGTAAAGATATGGTCATGGCTCGGTTCTTGGGGATTTTCTCAAGGCAACAAAGATGGAACACCAATATTTGTTCCTGCCTTGATACATTTGTCTCTAGAAGTTTATTTACTAATTTATTTATTTATTTTGCTATTAGTAACGCTATACCTGGTTGTTGACTACATATAGACATTTATCCCATCCAATTGGAAACTACATTGTCTTCTTCATTTCTTTGAGAAATGAGGCTCTTGATGAATCGTGGTGTTCAACAATGACTACATATAGACATTTACATCACTATAAATCAAAATGTACATAACAAACAACACTCCTACCATCTAGCTACCGATATGAATTATTGGAAAACCGAACTATAACCGATCTTGACAACAAGACTCTAGTGTCTTGCACTGTCTTCAAAGATTGCGAACATCTGTGCTCCAAAAGCAAAGCAACTTTGTAAACAATGGTGCAGATGAAGTATAAGGATAACATTGAAACAGCAATGAAGTGAAGAACCCCCAAGCACACAAGACATGTAAGAAAGGTTTACTATCTGTCCCTGCCATGTACACCTGCATTTAAGTGCTTAGTTCTTGCTGCAATGTCGAACACTTCTCTGGATTTGAATTATAATTTTGCCCTTTTAGTGAGTGCCTCAGCTTTGCTTGTAACGGGCCTTCAACAATGGTGGGCAATGGTGTTGTCTGTAAGAGAACAGGTCCTGATTGGATTGGCAGAATAGTACACGGCACTTGATCATTTGAAGATCCCACTTTTGATAGGTGTCTGTACCAAGTTTTCAGACAGCTTTCTCGGAGAAGCCATCATGGACTTCTCATTTTGAGCATCCTTTTCTGCTTTTTTCTTTTCCAATTCAAGTTGTTTTTTGTTTTCATCATGTGCTAGGACGAACATCCTCACAAAATTGAGCAGAGTGGACACAACTATAGAACGAAGATAGAAAGTAAGAGGTCCCCCAAGTATACAAATGACATTCAAGAGCCAATGATAATATTTAAGCATCACATAAATATCATAACCGTGCACAGAGAAAACATGGATATGCAGATGTATACATATGCAAAAACTGTATAGTGAAGGGTGTGTGTTAATTTAGTAATTATTGAATAATGATGGGCTGAAAATTAAAATATTGCAGCCTGACTGACACCATTCAGATTCCTAGAATAAGAGATAGCTGTCAGAAATTGGAATCTATGTGGGATGTCCATTTTAACAAAGCTAGTATATGCTGGAAAATACCTTGCTCAAATGGGCAACGTGCCGGATCTTCTCCAAAATAAAAGGCCAGTGCATCTGCATTTCTACCCTAGAACATTCAAATTCAGAAAACAAAAATCACTGGCAATGAGTGTTCAAGTTGAAGCACAGCATTCTTGTTCAAAGTCAGCTGGTCAAAACAAAAGTTCATATACATACCACAGAGGAATAAAGGGAAGCCAAAGACCTCACTTCACTTTCAGCAAAAGCAAGAAAAACCTTAAGATTCTGAACATTTCCAAGGGACAGGAGAAAAAGATATTAATGAGTACAATCTGCCAAGGTAAAGGATATTCAGTGTGCATGTGTGCGTACAATCTGCCAAGGTAAAGGATATTCAGTGTGCATGTGTGCCTGCATGCATGCCAATGGTAATTCCATTAACTGCAGGTAATTCCTGCAACGAATCCTAAGAAACCTTTATCCACAGTGAAGAGAGTAGCTGAAAAGGACTTGCCTTGCAAAAAATTTCTGAGACCGAACCATCATTCTCTGAAGCAGTCAATTCCTGCATAACTTTTTCAAGTCCTTTACTAACAGCTTGCATTTCCTCTGCCAAATATTTCAATTGTATCTGCACAAAATACAACATATACCTTAGCAAGCAAACAATATAATGGAAACTGAATTTGCCAACAAAAAATACATACACACAAAGGAGGAGGAGGAGGATTACTTTTGTTGCAGCCTCCAAATTCACAAGATCCTTCGAAAAATCTAGCAGTTCTGGAAGCTTTTCAGCCAGTACCTAAAATTCATATAAAAAGATTCAACACCAAACCCAAATAAATATTTTTGTCCGGAGTTCTATTTTCCATTTATTTGGTATCCTCTAATGTTCAATGAGCAGAAAATATAGGAAAGTTCTGCAAAAATGTTAACAATTGCAAATATATTTCTCAACCAAAAAGAAGAGGGAAAGGAAAAACAGATTCACAATCTCTGAGGATTAGATTTCAAGATTCAGCATCACTGTATGCATTTCAGCTAGCTCAACAATACAGGTTTCTGGGAGCGTTTGTTTTGCATAAAATATTTTATGGAGGGAAAATATTTTATGGATGGAAAATGCTTTCCGTAAAACATTTTATAAGAAAAATATTTTATGTAAGTAATGATGTGAAAAGTATGGTAGTGGTAGAATTATGTTGATGTGTTATGATAATGAAGTGGTGGTGGGGTGGTGGTGGTGGGGTTATGGTCGAGGTAATGATGGTTGAAATTATTGGATGATATTGTGACTATTTGTAAAATATTTTATAGAAATTCATGCTTTGAAAATAATTTTCAATAAATAAACTAAGTTTAAAGATTGACTATAAAATGTTGTAAGTTAATTGATTTTCCTGTAAAATATTTTACCAAAAACACAGGCAGAAAAATCAGAAAAACATTTTCTTGAAAAGTATTTTACGCTAAATAAATGCCCTCTGGGTATAAGCATCAATTGCCATCTTATCAATTTAGAAGAAAAAATTATTCAATTATATTTCAGGGTATACAGTCTTTCAGTCATTAGAACCTTGCTGCCACTTAAAAGGTAAATCCAAAGATACAGCATGACAAACTTTTCATTTATTAACCATCCTAAGTACAGAAACTTTTCTCATCTGTTTTGTCCGAGTGACTTGACTTACTTCAGCTTTAGGAGTATGATGTGGGCCAACAATATATTTTTATGTTGCTTTGGAAAAACATGGGGTTTAATTTTAGTGTTTTAGTTTCTTCATGTTTTAAACTGCAATTCAATTTAAAAGGAAATATTGTACCTTACAAAGATAATGCATGAGAGTCATCTTGTTGTTTCGGGCTCGTGTATCAGTGAGTTTGAGGAGACTATCCAATCGAAATCCAACAGCAGAACCTAGAGCAATGAAATTATAAATTTTCTGAAAGAACAAATCCAGATAATGCAAGCACATCGAGAGTATATGAGAGAAACACAAGAACAAGACAGGGATAGGGATTACTCCCAAAATCCTGAAATTAATCTCATCAAATAAGATCTTCAATGTCAGATTAAGACCTTCTGCATATTAAGAAGGGCTACTTGTTTGATTGACGATACTTGTACAGTGCATGGCCAACCATATGATCTTGCAAGTCCAAGTTCAAGTATAACATTTCAATCTCAATGTAATTACAAAATCACATTCTTCAGGGTGTAAGGTATAGTTATCTATCTTGTTATTTCTTTAGCTCTAATCACTTTCTGGGTGATAGTGTCCTGGATCAACTAGCTTATTAAGTATGAACAGACTAGAGCATAAATGGGATTTATAGTAAAAGCTTGGCATTTTGCAATGAAAAAGTTACAGTATCCTACAGTACATGTTAGGATCTAAAAGACTTGAGATCATACAGGAGGAGGTTATTCGGCATCTTATTTAAAACAAAATATTAGGTTTCTAATAAGTAAAAAACTTAAAAACCAGACATAAAGAGAGTCATCAGTAGTTATGGTTTAGCAAAAACAAATCCTCTGGATTAGAGTAGTGGCTGTCTCTGACAAGCTATTTGTTAGACTTTTCTACTATGGGCACAAACTAATGTGCAATACTAATATGTCTGATTCATATTCTCTAGGGTGGTTTTACAACAGGATACTAACCGATGAAGTTGCAACTCATTAACTTACCCCTTGCAGTACCATGGTTGAGAGCATTACCAAGGCAAAGAATAGTCTGCATGATCCTTTTCAACTTTGCTGAGCTCCTGATCTGATAAAATACATGATTGGAAATGCTCTAAGAGATGAAAATCTTCAGAGAGTTAGCACTGCTGGAAAAAACTGAAGTAAAAAGATCTGACTTGCCTCTTCAGAAGCTGAATTTATAACATTCAAATTGCCTCTGAGATCAGAAACCTGAAATAGGTCCAAGACAAGAGCTGAATATTTGCAAACAATGGTTTTTCTGTAGCACTGGTCCCTATGCTTCTATGCTCCAGTCACATTGAACCCTATGGTTCAGAAAAGGGAAATTGGGTCTTAAGATTGATTTTTTGGAGATAGATTATCCCTCCATCCAATTCCGTTGCCAAATTCCATTAAAGTTAATAATCAGCAGTCAAATTTGGTCAATGATGACCAAAATCTCCAGCAATCAGTGGATGTCATGTGCCCTCAAGCAAATAAATATTAACAGAAATTTCTGAAAAAAATTGGAGGGAGGGACTTTGACCGGGGTCCAAAATTTCAATGATCCAATTGCCCTTTCAAAACCACAGGGTCCAGTACGGCTGAATCATTGAACCACAGGGACCTCTATTGCCAAAAAAAACTACAAATAACAACGAAAGAGATTGCCCTCTAACCTGGGATTGGAATTGTATCTTAAATGAAAACACTCTTAGCTTTGACTCTGCACGTGGCACTTTCATCATTTCCAAGAAAAACTATTGTGAAAAATGCAGGAGTTAAATTAGAATACAAGACCAATATATGTCTGGAGTGGATATTCTCAAACCACATTGCAGCACATTTCATGATTTGTTTCCAAGGATATGCAACAAAAATAGTAAGCCAAAACTTCATGAATGTCAATAAGTATTATCCAGTGCCAGCTGGTTGATTAATGGATTGAAAGGAGTAAAGAGCAAGGAGAGTAGCATATAAGCCAACTTTTTTGCATTTCATTTGTAACAAGGGCATGAACTATAAAATGCTAGAAATACAATAATGTGAACAAGAAAGTTAATGCGAAAAATCAATACTTCACTCACCTGTTCACATTTTCCCAAGTTCTCTTTATCTCCATTATAACCCTGAATGTGAGAAATTCTGATTTTTAACTCAATGAACATGGGGATTGCTTTTGCTAATCAATGTTTTAAATTATGAACAAATAGAAAAATAATTAATTGGTAGTGACAGTTTAAAGCTCTCGTGTGAAGTAGTGAAGGATTTATGGGCATAAAAAACTAAATAAGCAGCACATGTATTTTTAATACCTTGAGTAATTCCATCTCCTCTTTTGTTGGACAAAACTTAATAAGGCTATCAACCTGATCAATATCCAATGCTGTATCATCCAAAGCAAGAACTGAACTCTGTAAGACAGTTAGAGAAGCAAGGACATAAGAGAACCGACCAAAATCATTTAAGCAGTTAAAACTCTGAAATGAATGCAGCATGCACAGCAAACTTCAGCAGAAAAGGTATGTCTTCGTTCATTTACATTAAAAGGACCAGTTATCAGGGTTAACATGTTTTCTTAAATTCAAAACCAATTACACATCATCATTTAGTAGATTCCAGGTGAACTAATTACAACAGCATGCCAAAGCAATCACATAGGAATGCCAGGTAGATGGAATAACAAGAAAACCTAAGTTATCAAGCACCATAATGAAAGCACTATGACAAACATTCACGTGTTCATGGATAGCTACAGAAGCTTTGAACACAGAATAATTATAAAAATCTTGTCAGCTTTGAAATTGCAGCCGATAGTCTAAATTCTGTACTGTCTTAAGAAAAATTTAGCTCAAACAACCCCAAAAAGGTTCAGCTTACCATCAAGTCTGGCAGAGGAATTTTAACCTTTGAAAGCATGATCTCACAATTATATGCCCGTCTAAGTTCAATCTGCAAAACCAGTAAATACCTCATGAAGAAATGAATTTAAATGAGATGGTTTGCTATTTATTCACTGCTATCCAGAATACACAGAAAAAATTCATGATCAAGCACTGAATGTGTGAGCTTGCAATAAAAACAGTTCCAATAATTGCAAAACAAACCAAAGAAGAGTGTTCTTGCAACCAAATGAATTGTTCAGGTGACAAGTTTTGTATTAATCTCTTTCTTTAAAACACTATTAAACAGATAACTTTGGACTATTAACACCAAATGAGCATTTGATAAAGTTTTGGAAAACCGATTATCCTAACCTACACTGAAGATGATCAAAATCAATCAACTGGAGAAACCCAATCCTAATCCTACATTGCTGCACTAGAAACGTAATCCACTTAGAGCTGACTTCCTTTATGAGGAATCTATAATTATATACAAGTATTAGAAAAACTAAACAAAATGACACTGTGGATGCTTGTTAGTCAAAAATAAGCAAAGCTAAAATGGGTAGCTGGTTGGGACATATCTTGCCCCGTGTAGTGAATTTAAAACATGGCATTAATAAATGTAAGTTCTGCAATCAATAGAATTAATCATAGGCCCCACTCCATGATAGCACACTGATTACCAGCTGGATTTTATCAGATTTATGTCCCAAGGTGCGTCGATTTGATTTCCCTGCTGTGCTCCCACAATCATAATTTGGAGTAGCTGCTGAGAAAAGAGTCTCAAGTTCTGACATGTCAAACTCAGGAGCCCTAGTACAGACAAATTGGATAAGGTTTAATAAGTGGCAACATAGAGATACTAGTGGGAAAAAAATAATTTAAGAGACAGCAATAAAAGAAAAGGATGCATACTTGGAAGCTTCATCAGCTTTTTGTGCCTCAGCCCACAAACTTCCTGACATGGCCCTAGTTAATTTTAACCAATGATAAGGCTTCAGGTTGGCTTTTCTGGGTTGATTTTTTGCATTTATACGTAACATGCCTTGCCCCTTTGCACTAAATGAAGCACCAGAGGGCGGTCCAGGAACTGAAGGCATATTTCCATTACTAACTCCAGCATGAGATGGTGAGGAGACACTGCTAGTTCTTGACAACCCTTTAGTCAAAGGGGCAGGAGGTGGCGGCACAGGAGGAATATGCGCGGCATTATTAAATGAAGAAGTTTTAGCAACAGAACTAGTAGGAGGGGGTGGTGGCGGCACTGAAGGAGCATTAGCAGGGCCCAGGGCAGATCCAGAATGTAGAGGAGGTGAGGAGACACTGCTAGTTCTTGACAACCCTTCAGTCAAAGGATCAGGAGGTGGCACAGGAGGAATTTGTGCGGCATTATTAAATGAAGAAGCTTTTGCAACAGAACCAGGAGGGGGTGGTGGTGGCGGCGGCACTGAAGGAGCATTTGCGGGGCCCAGGGAAGATCCAGGATGTAGAGGAGGAGGAGGAGGCGGCGGCGGTGGTGGTCCAGGCACAACAGCCAAGTTCTTCCCAGACTGTGCAGTAACTGAGCTGGCAACCTTTGAAGCCATTCCAGGAGGTGCTGCTGTAAAAGGAGGCAGAGGAGGGGGAGGGGGAGGGGGAGTGGGGAATGATTTCTTGGAGGAAGGAGATGGGGATGCCTTTGAAAAAGATGGGGGTGGAGGAGGAGCTGGGGGAGCTGAAGATGAACTCTTGATAACAGGAGGAGAAGAAGCAGGAAGAGAAGAGAGAAGAGAAGGAAACGATGGTGAGTGGATACTGCCTGGTGTTGGTTGAGGATGTTGATTAAGTAGAGAATCTGTTCCTCTGGATTGAGGAGGAATATGACAAGCACCGGAAAAAAAATTTGCATTTTTGGGAGCTTCAATTGATGATTGCAATGGGTTAAGAGGGCATGGTGGTGTCCCCGGAGCAGCCACATGATTGAGTTGTGCAGGTTTGGGTGGATCTGTGACGGAAGAAGAAATTGAAATAGGTTGAGGAATAGCTGGAATATGATATGTTGGAGAAGGCTTTTCTGTTGTTTTCGGAGCTTCAAATGATGATTGCAATGGTGTAGGAAGAGGTGGTGTCCTTGGAGCAGACACATTATTGAGTGGTGGAGGTTTAAGCACACCTGTGACTGGAGATGAAATAGCTGAGGAAGGCAGAGATAATGTCAGTGGACGCACAACTTCTTCACCTTTAGATACAGCATGATCATGCAACAAAGCTGTAATTCCAAGGGCAGAGGATGCACTGTGGTATCTTGACATAGGCACAGGTAAGCCCTGTAAGTTATTGCCATAGGAAACTGGAGAACAGAGTGATTTCTGGGGTACTCGCTGTGATATGATCTTAGATTGAGCTGGCCATTGGAGAGCAACCTGGAGCTCTTGTGGCTCAACCTTCTTTTGAGTTGAAATTGCATCTGAAGTTGGCTTAATAGAGGGCGTAGATTGGCAAGCAACCTTCAGTTCTTGGGGTTCTACCTTCTCCCTAGTTGAATTTGCATCAGGAGATGATTTAATAGAGGGCATAGATTGGAGGGCAACCTTTAGTTCTTGGGGTTCAGCCTCCTCTCTTACTGAATTTGTATCTGAAAATGGTTTGAAAGAGACAGCAGATTGTTTCACCAGGGTAATGGAAGTGGGACTTGGAGTCTTGTTTTCTGATTCATTTAGTTTCGGTTTCTCTTGAACTCTGACAAAGGTTGATTCCATCAATACACTTCCTCCTTCTGCCCTCCGTGGAGAGCTGTCAAAATTTTCTTGGGGTTCTATGATATGATGGTGCATAATTTGTGCTACATCAGTTTTTGTATCTGACCAGTCCATATTGCTGAAAATCTCGTGAACTCTGGGAAACACTTCCACAGGTATACAATCTTTCTCTTCTAAACCAGGCAAATCAATTGCACCAATAGGAGTACTAGAATCCATCTCAGAGAAAAGAACCTGCATCCAAACCCAGAGCAATTAGTCACCACTAGACATAGTAAATTTCTAGAAACGAAAGATAACTCAATACCTCTGCTCTGAAGTCCTTGGGAAATTGATCCTTTGCATCCCATAAGGTGTCAATTTCATCACGATTAAGCATCAAGATATTTGAACTTATAAAGGAAGTATTAAACATGGCCCGAAACATCATCCGTTCCCTCTTGTGATCACTGTCCAAGTTAATACACTCCATGACAACATCACCTTGGATATGACAATTAATGTCGATTTTAACCAATTCACAATCTGCCTGCCAAAATAAAAGAAGAATTTGAAAGCATGCACAGCAAACTTTACATCAACAAATATAACTAGAGTGTTAATGGTAACAACTCTTTGCTAAAAACCATCATAATTAGAAATAGAAAAACTCGGAATAGCATTGCCAACTGAATAGGTCAGTCAGATGGGGGGGGCGTACACTTTTACAGAGAAATTCTGCTGTATCATTACTGCTTCTAAAAGTAAGGCGGATCCTGGAAAAGCATCTAATTTAAGTAATGTAGAACAGCATAAACAATGATAAGAAGATTGCTCTGTGATCTGGAAAAAAATACAAAATAACTTTTCAAATCAAAATTTATAAGAAATTGTCCAAATTGAAGAGACTTGAGCTACCTGCTTGTAATGCTGGACAAATCTGCTCCTTTTTGATGTTGAGAACAGAACTTTCGGAGTCCTATCAACAACCATAAAAGGGTCTTGTCCATATATCCTAAATATTGGCCGGCAACCCCCCTCTGTATCCATACAGGGAATGACTCTAAGAATAATGCAATCCAATGTAAGTGCTCTATCCAGCGGAGGCCATTGTGTTCCCATGTTCCTCCTTGATACATACTGTAAGTACCTCAATTGCGAAGGTAATGGATTAATAGGGGACATCAGCTGTAAAAGCTCCCGAGGCCCTTGCTTGTAAATCATGTCTATGGTTCTCTGCTCGCCAGTGAACTGCTTCCCGTATAGCAATAATGCAGCTAGCATGAAAGCCAGAACTGGCCACCCCCCTCGTTCACAATGCATCAAGACCACATTTTGTTGCCCAAGTGACAGCCAGCTTTCACTAGACCGCAAGGAATGATGAATCATCTCCATTGAGAGCAAGGGGAAACTTTCATAGTGCCAAGGATAGTCCATCACAGTCATGTCAAATTCAGACAATACACTACCAATCTGACTTTGATTTTCGCCTTCTTGGAAATTAAACACCATAAATGAAGCATCAGGCAAATGGTTACAAAGCTTACCCGCTATGCCTCGTATGTACACTTTATGTTCTTCTTCTTCAAAAGTATCCATACAATAGCAGCAATCAAAGACTGAAACCAAAAGAACACGAACCATCATTAATATTTACAAACATAAAAACTCCACGCACCATTATCCACAGTACTATTTCCAAAGATAAGAGACTGTAAACCCAAATACCCATCAACATCCATGCAAGCGATGGAAAAACACTTCAGAAATGAATGATAAATAGATGAGATTCAAAACAAAAGAAAACTAACAATCTTGAACTCTAAAGTGAGCAAACTGTTTCTATTTACATAGCATGATATCTGCATAATCCAGAATAGTATTTTGAAAGATATAAACTTTAATACCAGTTACCTGTCAGCATCAATACAATTAGTTTCAAAGAGTTGAAAATCAAATGACAAATACAACAAAATCGAAAGAAAAAAAAAACATGAATCTTCTTTAAACCTCAAGTTAAAGATAGAGACAGGGAAACCAATTATCCACAATCCCAGTGCAGGTAATTCAAAAAACCAACAATCAGTACAAACAAAGCATTTACATTACCAGCAATAACATCACAAAAGAAAGAGACTTTCAAGACCAGTTACCTACCAACATCAATGCAAGAAATTCAAAACACAAAAGAACTAAAACCCATCAGTCTTTAACCATAAAGTTTGCAAATGAATTCAAACTTAAAGCATACCGTAAACCCTTTCAGAGATCTCCAACAGCCCATCAGGTGGTTTTCTATAGAAGAACTTTCTAAACAAAGCCATTTCTTTCATTCTTTTCCCTCTGAAGTTCCAACAGAATCAATCACCTACAAAATTGAACCCACATTGCACCAGGAACAAAACATTCCTCAAATAAGCTCAAGAGACCCCGATAAATGATTGCACAACACAGAGTAGTGTCTGTTGAGGAACCAGAGAAAGCATGAGTTTTGCTGGGATTTTAAGAAACCCCTTTTGTGGGTAACTGTTATTTTTGTCTTCCTATTCACACTTTGTCCCTCACTGCCTTTGTGTCTGAGAAAGATTGAAACTTTGCTTTCAATCAACAGACTTTGATAGTTAGAGAGAAAGTATTCTCTCTCTTTTTCCAAATAAAAAAAATAAGAGAAAGACAGAGACAGAGATTTAGCAATGGTGGAGGCGGTTGATGTTGACAATGATGTTGTTAAGGAACAAAGCTGAGGATCCTAGGATCTGAAGCTTGTCTCTGTGTGAGTGTGTTTTACTTTTAGGTTTTGTTTACCGTCTGTATGCTGTTTGTGCTATTGCATGATGTTTGTTGTTGACAATGATGTGTGTGTCCATGTAATAATGCGTTTGCTTCTTCTCTCTTCTTTCTCAGGCTTGTATGTGCCCAAAAAGGAAAAGATTAGACGTTAGATTTTTGTACTGAAATTCCTTGAGAGCACGTGTTTTGCCATGACTGCAGAGACATGCCAAGGAAATTTTGATTAATTCAAAGAAAAGTAATTAATAAGTTTTGAATAATTTAATGTGGGGTTTGCTTAGCATTTATAATTAGGAAAAAGGTTGGTATTAGTGAGATCAGCTAAGTCCAATTAATGTTTTTGAGACTAGATTAAATTGGGTGTAGATTTGATTGGATCAGAGTTACATAATGATCAATATCTTTTTCCATTATCAAATCCATGCTAAAAATGAGTTTTTGTAATAGTATTAAATGAAAAAACTTATTATACTTAGACTATAATTACTAGATACTTATAATTCAGGAGAAAGACAAAAAAAAAAAAATCACTGATGGTTTCGCTACCAATAATATGTATTTAGTAATATAATACATAATATTTTTCAATTAAAAATATAATAAATTTTTGATATCAAACTAGAGATAACTAAACCACGTTTATATAACACTATACATGCATTTAAAATACAGGAAAATTACACATGTATCAATATGTGAACTGCACGTGTTAGCCCTTTAAAAAAGTCATATTTTAAATTTTTTAAAATATATAATTACTTCTAGATTAATTTGATGATAACCAAAAAACTAGATTGAAAATGTAAAAAAAATCTGAATGTTAGTTAAAGAAATCTTAATTTAAAAGTAATTTTGTTATTTTATTATTTTTTGAAAAAGTGAAAATACAAAAACATCTTTAAACATCATTAAAACAAATCTTGCTCTTAAAATTGACCAATAAACATTGTGAAAAAATCATATTTCCTCGGATAATCACACTAATAATTTTTGTTAAGAAAAACAAATTTATTATTATATTGTTATGACCCACGATATTCATGTCTTAATATATAATGAAACACTAAGTTATTTTAGTTTTTTTTTTCATAATTTAGAGAAAGAAGAGAAGAATGTTCAAATAAATTATCTAAATATAAAATAATAATAATAATAATAATAAAGGGATGGCTTGATGAAATTGTTGCTCCAATATCAAAGAGGTGGTTATTTAATAGTTAGGCAGGCATTTTATGTTAGGTTTCATTGTTAAGATATTGTTTGGTAATGGAGTGTAAACTGCATATCTTAAAAATTGTTAAAAAATAATTTTTTTTTATATTTTGGATTATTTTGATGTATTGATATTAAAAATAATTATTAAAACAATCACAGCTATATTCCCAAACAGCACGAGTCTTGATAATTTCATGTTTGAATAATGCTTATGAACTGAAATTTACCAAGGCGGTATAAGAAAAATATTAAGCATAACAAGCATAAAACATGTAATTTTGCTGAGAAGGGATAAAAATTCAAATTCAAATTTTTATTTTTATTATTTTATATTTAGAAAATCTATTCCTGTAGGAGGTTTATAAATCTTTAAATAAACCTATAAACTAACCTAATCAAAACAAGAAACTTAAAAATAAAACAAAAAATATATAATTTCTTAACAAAACTGAAAAAATAATAATAAAAGTTTTAAACCAAATAGAAAATGAAATTTTAAATCAGCTAGAAAAATATAACAAATCTCAAACAATAACTTGCAGACATTATCAAAAGGCTTTGATCCCCAGTTATTACAAAGTTATAACCTTATAAAAAACAAGATCTCTAAAATTTCATAGCAAAACTTCTTTCCAATTTAATAGCCAGATCAAGACATATTCAATAATATAAAAAGGTGCATTAAAGAAAAATCTCCCACAACATAAACTTTAGTTTGAAATTTACATAATACATGTAGATAGAATCACATCTCACTTGTCTAGGTCCACAAATGGCCTATTCTACATTGCAAATAAGATTAAATTTTTTTCTAATACATAAAAAAAAAGATGTTAAGATGATGATAACATTTAAAAAAAACCAAGAAAATTTAAAACTAAAATCATTGACTTGACCGAGTTTAATAAACTTGATTAATTTAATAATATAATTAAAAAAACATTAACAATAAATAAAATAAACAAAAAAATTTGACAATAATTAACTGTATAAAACAAGCTATCAATATCACATTCAAAATGAGAAGATAGAAAAGCTCATAGGAAACTTGTTATTACTTCGTTATAGGCATTGATCCTTGTAAAAGAAAGAGCTTACCGAAATGGTTCTAATACTATTATGAAAGGCTGTACAAAGACACTAGAAGAGATCATATGCGCTATTAGAGAAATGACTTGAAAAGCAAATCAAATAAAATATCATGATATGAATATCTCATGCTTATATTTAATTAACTAGTTCAAATACCAAATTTCTTTTATGAAACCTAAATTCAATGAAGAATAATAAATAAAAAGACTCAAGATAACTTGAGTTATTTTCAAAATCAGTAAAAGATGCTATATAAAGAAAATAATAAAAATAATGAAGCTCAATATCCAGGTAAATAAATGATGAATTTGAAAGAACATGAACTTAAAAAAGAAGAAGTAAATTCGAGCAAATTTCCTAGATCTAAATTATTTTTGTAAACTACGACCTATAAAATTCTAAATTAGAATTTCAATCAATGTAATGTTGAATAATAAAATTAAAAAAATTAATTTTATAAATTATTTCAAATAAAATAAATAATAACAAAAAAACATTAATCAAATTTAAAAGAAAAACAAATCAGAATGATGCTTTTGAAATTTAGAAAATTAAGTACAAAAATCAAGGAGATGACAAAAAGGAATGAGATTGTCGGTGTCACAGTGAAAGTTAGCATGCCACATACACCACTATAAATGAAAAGGCTATCAAAATAATTTCAATATTGTTGTGGAATGTGACATTTGACCGCCGAGAGATATCACACACGCCATATAAAAAACACGAGTGTCTTCCCACCTGCTAGTATATGTTTTGTATTCACTGAATATTTTTATTTTTAAATTATATTTTAAATTTATTAAATTATTAAATTATTCCTTAATCAATTTCATTATAACTAAAAAAATCATAGTAACAATATGAAAAGACAAGGCCCTTATATGTAAGTTATATAATTTTTCCTTATAAGAGTACATTCTTCATTTGACTCGGCTTTAAAAAGGTGAAAAACATTAAAAAAACCTTTAAACACCAACTAAATAATTCTTGTTTTTAAGAATAATTTAGTTGTTTTACATGTTTTAAAATTATGAAAAAACCTAGTTATGTTTGATTAATCTAATAATAACTAATCAACCTTATGAAAAAATAATATTGTTCCCAATAGACATTTAAATAATTGTATACTATTTTAATCCATGATACAATGAATATATACAATGAAACCTGATGTGTGCTATCTTTTTTACAAAAAAACTACATTCAATAGCATTCCAACTTTACTTTATTAAAAAGTGTTACGAGGACACGTAATCACTAAACTAAAATTATTTATAAAAGAGGTCAAAAGTACATGATGCATGAGTTTTTTAAAAGAAATAAATATTCTTTTTATTTTGATTTTTAGTTTATAGATTTTTTATATTTTTATATATTATTAATAGAGTTCATTCCAGCTTAGAAAAACTAATGTATAAGATTTTTGAAAAATAAAATTTTTTATTTGGTATTATTAGGTTTTTGTAGGTTTTTTATTTGAAAGGAATATTTTTTCTATTTAGTGTTAATTGGGTTTTTATCCACGACAAACAACATTTCTTCAACGTAACATCAAGAACTTAGCAAGGTCTTCATCTTCCATTAATTACATAACGATGGCCACAGCAAGCATGCTGTTCTGGATTACTGCTTTTTTCATCCCTGTAGAAAATAAAAAATAAAAAATAAAAAATAAAAAATAATAATAATAATAAAAAAAAAGGTTGCTGGGAAGACCCATAACCCATAACCCATCCAATCATGAGTGGGTAGATATTTGAGAAATTGGATGATATGCTTCTAAGCTAAAAATCCAAGATGCCCAGAAAGCTCTAGAGGCTCGTCCCCCTCTAGACTCGTTGAAAATACAAGTGGGTAATATTATAAGTTTGGTGTTTTTTAAAATATTTTTTTATTTAAAAATATTTTATTTTTTTATTTTTAACACTGACCCATTAAAATTATATAAAAAAAATTAATATCAAATTACACTCTCGGAAGATCAATGTGCCATGGCTGCACATTTACTCCTGGTATTGAAAGTTCAGTTCATTCATTATTTTGGATTAATTGGTGATTGAGTTATTCTTGGTGTAATAATATTGTGATTTAATCATATTTTTTAAAGTTTTTATTTTTTTAAAGGCTGTAAATTAGATTTTTAATGTTTTTTCATCATTTTAATATGTTAGTATAAAAAATAAAAAAACTTTAACCAGAAATTAATTTAAAAAATTATATTTACTTTGTTAAATAATATTTATGTAGTTTTATTTGTTAAGGGTAGAATAATGTATTTAATTTAATTTTTTTTATATATATATATACACTTTATTTGTATTTACATTAAGATTAAATACTCATAATACATGGATAATTCAAAATTTTAATAATTTTTAATATTTAATTTTAATTATTGTAACATACTTCACTCCATGGGTTTGGTTGGAGAAATCAATTGGAATTCAATAAGTTAATCTTATATTGAATATTGTTCATGTCGAGGAAAGAGATTTGATATTTTGATATTGGTGTGCGTCCGTATTAATTGACATGCAAAAACATTATTTAAACCTATCTTTTAACATCGAATAAAAAAATCAAATTCTATATAAAATAAATAATTAAAATTAAATTAAAGGTAACAATTAAGTATAATGATCGTATGCTGCCTAAAGCACCGAAACATTTACTGAAAGCTACCTTGATTTTATTTTTACCTTAAATTAAATTAGATATAGGTAGTTTGTTTTGGCGTTATAAAAATATATTTTTTATTTTTTTATTTAAAATATTTTATATTTTTAAAA